GTTGGAGCTCTGGAATGTGTGCTGCACTCCACCTTTCGGTGTCCGGAAGTAGGTGTTGGTCAGGGAGAGTTGGTTGTCTGACGCCAGTCCAAGGAGTCGTTCCCCGTTGTTGTTCATAATGTCGCGTCCGTACGCGCCCATAATCTTGGCATCGCAGCACCCGTCTCGCCTCCTACCAGTACGTGCGTTGGCGTCCATTAGCACCACGAGATGGTCACGGCTGTGAACCTCCCGGATCGCTGCGTCGAGAGCAGTCCAGAAGGAGTCCTTGGCGTTAACATCACCGCCCGCGGTGGTGCGGACAGTTTCCGTGGGGGCGTACCCCACCACGAAAGTTACTCCGCAGGTGCGGCCAATTTGTAGACGCACCTTCATCAGCCTCGGGCTAATGCACTCCACCGTCCTTCCTTCCTCGCCCGTACTCTCCCACATGGCCTCCTTGATCGCTATAACCACACCGTGTACGCCCCTCTTGTCCTTGGTGCCAGCACGGGCGCCACTCCAGATGATCACGTACCCGTCGTGTACAATTGAACCTTGCCCCTCTCGTCGGGTCTCCTGAAGTCCTATCACATCACAGCCGGTCGCGGAACATTTCTGCATGACCGTCATCACGTTGTGACCGATGGGGTTCCTATCGCTGTGGGCGAGCGTGCGTACGTTGAACGTGCCGAACGATAGGTCGCCCTCTCGTGCCTCTTCTTCGCAGCCGCCTTGACCGCCACTGCGGTCTCGTGTCTCTCTCGTTCCACCTCGCGTTGCGGGTGTGCTTTCTTTCGTATTTTCCGAGCGGCGAATTTCTTCGCATCAATCCATCTCTGCAGAGCTCGGTTCTTGCCTGTGGTGTTTTGACGAGGAGGGTGCAGCACTCCCTCCCCGCGCAGCCCGCGTACTTCTCCTTTCTCCCGCGAGCGGTTCTTACTGACGTGGTGTTTACGAATCTCTCTACTCCTCCAGCTTCGTGGGCCACGCTTTCCGCGACGGTGGTTGCCAGGTGCAGTTTGCCGCTTTGCATGACTGCCGCGGGAACAGTGTCCATACACACCTCTCGCCACTACCACCGTCTGTGCATCCTCACCGCCACGCTGAGCCAGCGCGGCGGTGAGTTGCACCTTTGGACACCACCGGCCGACTATCTGTTGTGGCCTGGTTCGCCCGCGAGGGACTCAATAGGTCGATTTCGGCCCCGGCCGGGGAGCAGGCCGAGGGGGAAGGCAAGTGTCATCGTGTCGAACGAAACAGGGATGCTTGCTGGAGTACATCCCATCTTACACATGTCGGCCCCAACCACGAGCGTGCCATGTCTCGAAGTGGGGCACGCCAACGCAGGGCTATCATCGATCTGAAGTACTCAAGCAGGGGGTCGACGTTGAAAAAGCGCTCAACTTGCTGTGCCGCCGTTGGGCACGATAGTCATTTCTGTGTCAAACGTTTCTCCATGTGCGCTGTGCAGAAAATTGGGAGCGCGCACTCGGCGATCGTCGAGCAAAGTTTAAGGACAACACTGTCGGACGTCGTGCGGTTGCCGTTTAACATTTAATAAGACGCGGAACTCCCCTTGTGCGTTGAAACAGGTTCCTCCACTTGCGTGTGAAAAGAATTGCCACATGATTATTCCCACCACCGCATTTCCTGGCGGACACAACTAGACCCCTCGAAATTCCGAAACGTGTAGATGTAGACGTAAAGGTCGATCAAAAATCAAATCTCGTTACCTTCATCTTCGACGCATGCGCAGCGGCGCCTTTGAGCATCGCCCGATACTCTCGGAGCAGTCCCGCCGTTGCAAACCTTCCGCTCTTCCCGGTCACCGTCGCCGCCGTCCGCCTCGAAGAACCCCCGCTGCCGTCCAGGCTACTGCTACTTGTGTCACACCGCACCTTTAACCCAGAAACTCCCGTTGCTTCAACGGCCATGGAATGTCGCTGGTCCATGTTCGGTGTACCGCTGACTCCAAGTTCGGTTTTGCTCTGCGTACCGGCACCGCCCACGCCATTTTCCTGGCCGGCGTTGCCCGATCTTGTTGACCCGTTGGGCGACGCCGGGGAGTTTGTCGGGCCCGTTCCTATTGGAGGCTTCGTTGACGAGGGGTTGCTGGGGTTGGCGGAACTGCCGGCCGAGTGGCTGCTACTGTCATCGCTTCTGGACTCTGTCTGCGCCGCTTCGTGGAATAGCAGCAGGTGCATGTCAAACCCGCGAGAGACGTAGACTCCGGCGAGGATCCTGGACGTTCGGACACAGAAAAGACGGTGTTTTGATTGTTTCGTCTCTTAATCTGTTGTGTGTTTGTCTCTTTGTTTGTCAGATGGGGTTCGGTCCAGTACGAGTTTGAAGAAGCGAGAAAGATCAGAGGACTGCCTTTGGTTGGTGAACATAGGCGTGCTGGGAACATGAGCAGCCCGCCCGACACGCATGACTGCACGCTATACTAGATGCTACCTCTGCCTCGAATTCGATGGCTTAGGTAAACATGTCGTCAAAGTGTGTCCTTTTCCACAGCGTATGAACGTTGACCCAGAATGGCGCGCGGAAGCCACATGATCCGAACTTGGTAACAGTGGACTCCGTTTCCGGTGAATGCTTTGCAAACACCAAAATTGTGAG